CGAAGCGGCCTTCCAAAGAAATGATGGAACATCTGGTGGTTTGGAAGTGCCTTTGTATTTCCTAGTTTTATATCCCCCCGCGCTGTAGAATGATGACCCCTCTTTTGGGATTGAGGTCACCTCACCTGTTATAGGATCAACAACCTCAACCATGTCTTCGGGTGGAACGCCTTCGAAAGGATCCTTGGGTGGATCTTTGGGCTTACCGGATGATGATGATGAGGAACCTCCTTTGCCCTCTTCGTCTTCACCGGGATCATAAATCCCACTTTCAAATGCATCCTTCTTTGAATGATCAACCATTCCATCAGTCGAAGGGACCTTGAGTGCTTTGCCACTTTCCATCGGACCTTTGTCAATCAACTCCTCCACCGGTTTAGCATCCTCGTCTTCAGGCTTTGGAGGATCGTCCGATATCATGTAGCATGGAATGCGACCCTCACGGATAGCATTATACCTTTCCTTCAGTGGAAACACAAAATCCCCGTCAGGCAATGCGAGTTTGTTTGTTCCAACCCATGGCACACTACTATCAAAGTTGTTGTCCATCACCTCTTTAAGAGGGAGAACAAGAAACTCTTTTCTCCATGAGAATTCAGGGTGAATCTTATATCCCAAAAATACTCCTGGTAGTGAGGTTGGATCGAATTTCAATTTTTCTTTGGTTTTGGTTTTTGGTCCGGTCCAATAGTCAATCCTCACTCCAAAAGGAATCATTGGTCCCTTGAACTTCTCATCGAACCTGAGTTGCCATGGCGTTTGAGCCTCCTGATCACCGAGTATGTTGTGCGCCATGCAACAATGTCTGGCGGCATGCGTCCAGTATGTATGGTGCAAACCCGCTTGTTCAAGATTGATACGAGTTCCATCAAGAACGGATCGAATACTCCTCTCTGCTTGAGCATTGCTCTTGGAGATATAGGGAACACTTGTAACGTGTCTCCATTTCAATTCTGATGCTGCCTTGACAAGCTCTTCTGCATTGTCTGAATAGAACACACCAATGTCATCCCGTCCCCGGGTGAAGTGCTTCAATGCAAGAACACAATCTCTAGTCGTTTTCCTAGCCGACGGATATACATATCTAAAGTCCGTAGCTATGTCCTTAACGACTAGAGCGTTTCTTGAACCATCGATAGCCTCTTCTTCGTCATCCCGAAGAATAAGATGATCAGCAGTGATGTGATCACCAAACTTGTCAGCATCAACAGTTTCAGATCCTCCCTTCTTGTACGATGGTGGCTTAGTCATCTTAGCCCTTGAACATGTCGTGCAAAAAGGGTTCTTAGGAACATGCGTCAACAAATGTGCAAGCGATTTTGCTTCCCGCCTCAAGGCTTGTTCACCACGATCACGCTTTTCCGCTGGTGGATCGGGGACTAACCTGGCATCGACTGCTTCGGGTTCTGCTTCCGCAGACTCATGGGGTGCTTCCTCTACACTAGGTGTAGTAGGGATCGGAATGTACGAAGACTTGCCGTTCCCGGAAGCATGTTCTTCATACTTGTGTCCGATAGCAGTCATAGCCATACCACTGGTTGATGGTAAATAAGGAACATAGTCCTTCACTTGAAGCTTGATCCTCTGCCCATTTGGCTTTTTGAAATATGGTGTATCATTTGACGGCCAAATGAACGACCAATCATGATCAATACATAATTGTCCCACGGATATCACTGCCGGACTATCATCAAGTACATATGGCTTTGCAGTGATTCCCAACAAGGGAATATCAAGATTAGCCTGATCATTAGCCTGGAACACTCCGTTAGCTGTAAGAAGACTAACCGGTTTCGAGGATTCGAACACTTCGTTGCGATTGACCATTTCCCTAGATACCAAATCATTCGCACTGCCAGTATCTGCAATCCATGCGATCTCGGTCGCAGGCATTGTGACCCGATGGTTCTTAAAACAATGCTTGCATCCCATTTCCGAATCGCAAAGATAGCAACATCGTGCCTCGATGCCATTCAACTCGTTTGAAACAGCTCTGCTCAAACGGTCTGCTGCAATGCATGCATCTTCAGATGCCATTTCCAAAACTTCAGCGTTACCTTTGTGGCCTATTGGGAAACTGACATGCTTTCTTTGTTTTCGCGCAACAACTGGAAACATTAAAGAATTGCAATGAACCACGTGTTTAAAAACTTCTGGTTTGTCAGCAAAAGAAAGGCGTTTCACTTTTCCCCGTCCTGACGAAGATGATGGGGAAGAACTGGTGGCAGGTGTAGCAGCCATGGCCACGCTTTCCAACGGGCATCTGATAGTAGCAGGCTGTGATGATGAGACCGCAGTAGCTAAGACCAGAGTGCGCAGCAGGCAAACAGCGGCTGGATTAGAAGGAGCACCTTTCCCACCTTTGGATTTCTGACTACCGCCAGAACCGTTGGAGCCACGAGAAGTACTTCGTTTCTTCTTCTCTCTTTTCTCCTTCTTCTTCTTCTTTCGTTTCTTCCGGTCGTCACTTGGTGCGGGTGTAGAAGAACGATCGGGATGTTTGAAAGCACAATTCTTTCCCCGGTGACAGTCACCAGATTTCCAAAACTTGCAAACTTCCGATCTTGATCCCGGAGTCAACGACCTTCCACGTGAAGAAGAAGATCTACCCTTTCCACCACCTTTGGGCCTCCCTTTGCTGGATTCACGGGGTTTCTCATGCTTGAATGGGCAGTCGCGCCTACTGCACTTTCCTTTGTTCTGAAACTCATAACAAACGCCTTTCGGCTTTTTGTCACTTGGATCAATGACAGGAGCTGCAGGGTCTTTACCTCCAAGACTACGCTTCGTGGCAGCCCTCATCTTTTCCAAACGTTTCCTTTCAAGGTATGCCTTGGCTGACTTGATCAAAAAGTCGTAAGTCTTTTCGGCACTCCCTTCCGAGGCGCGTTCGTAGATGGCAAGATCATGAGCTAAAGGCTTAAAGTTCTTCACAGCAAGATGAAAATATGCCTCAAGCCATTTCTTGTCAACTTCCGTTCGCATCCCCGCGATAACAGACTCCCATCGCGTAACAAAACCTTTCAGGTCCTCGTTCACCATCTTAACACATATAAGATCTTCAACATCGTAAATAGCACCGTGTTTGATGGATGTAGCAAAGTACTCATGGAACAACAGTAGAATTTGCCGTCCCTTAATTGGTTCCTTTGCTTTCTCTTTTGTCTCTTTAAACGTGTTCAGTTGGCGAGCGAGGTCCCCCTCCGCACAGTTCGTGAGACTTGAAAGAAGTTTTGCATCCAGCGTGATGAAACCCTCAGAGTCATCCAGGTCCTTAGTTGTCACGGCATCTTCATAAACCTTACCTAGCCATAACCTGGCTTTATCCGGCTTAGCGGATGCCGCTGACACATTGTCCCGAACTTTAATTCGCCAATCTCTATACCTTTCAGGTGTAGGAAACTTGGGAATGAGGATCTTTTCGGCCTCTTTGGCCCTCTGTTCACGATCCTCTTTCTTCATCTTCTTCAAATGCTTCCTAACCTTACGGGCAAAGGATGAATCCTCAGAAGACGAGCTCGATGATGAAGGTGACTCGGACGGTGAAGGTGACCCCTTTTTGTTTTTCTTTTTGTTCTTTTTGCGGGGTGATCTACCACGCTTCTCCTCCTTGTCATCTTTCTTCTTCTTCTTTTTATCTTTCTTGCTCTTCTTCTTGTCATCGGATGAAGACGAACTTGATGAACTGGGATGATCTGGAGGACCACCTCCAGCTACCTTCGGGACATTAACCGCTCCACTCGCAAGAGCATCACGGTAGGGTTCACCGGAACTATCAGTCATTGATTTCTGCATTGGTCGATATGGTTGACCAAGAGGTAGCTCGTTTGAACCCATTGGACCTGGAAGAGTTGTCCTGAGGTTAGCCGGTGTTCCAGCAGGCTCATAGTTCCCTCGAGCGGATGTTTCCATTTTCTCTCGAAGTTCTCTAATGAGCTCTGTTTGTGTTCTCAACTCTTCCCTCAGCTGCGATTCACGACTCTGCGCTTGTTGTTGTAATTCTGTCAAGTTGTGGTTGTATAGTTGAGCTTCAGTCAACGCAGCATTCTTGATGACTGCTTCATGTGCATTCATCTTAGCTTGCTCGTTTGCAGCCCAAGATGCAGCTCTTCGTTCTTGTAACTCGAGTTGCTCCTTGACATGGTCGTGTGCCTCTCGGTGAATGGCTTCCACTGTCTTTTTCACTTCTTCGTCTTTCTTGGACATCAGTTCCCTGTGTCGCGCTTCTGCAAGTTGTGCGACTTCAGCGGACTCGTCCAGGTTGACGTTGATCATTCTTTGATCGTGGAAGTTCGCCGTTTGGTTAATGACTTGTCTCGAATCATTGTATGTACTCGACGGAACAAAGGCAGGGCTCGTGGGAGACAGGATAACCGCACCAGTCGATGTAGCTGGTGGCAACACGTTCCCATGTGCTTCAACCAATGCATCCTCATCATGCTCTGAGGTGAAGACTTCCGTCTGTACATATGACCCATTCTCATCGGCATCACCGACTCTTGACCTCGATCGATCCGTGCCATCTCGAATTGGTTCGAAGGGCCTGTCCGCCATGCCACCTCACGTGTGCGCAGAACGAGGGTGGGTAGGTGACACAGCTAGAATGGCGCGTACCGCTCTTTGGCGATACGGCTGATAACCTGAATTTACAGGCCAACAGCCTACAAGTACCAACATGTAGAGCGCCCTTTTCTTGAGCCAAACATAGAGGTCAATATGATATGTACAGGTGTACAATCGTGCAAATACACAAACACCCTTCCGCATCAGTAGCATACCTGTACGAGAAGTTGCTATGCCTGAACAGTGAACAAATTATTCACGGCTGCTCCCCAAATAGTCCAAGACTAGTCCCTATACATACATATGTATATACACTGTGTATATATATATATATATATGTGTTTTTAAACTAAGAGACCTTGGGACAGTGATCTCATTAACTCCTGGTTCATTGTGCTTGATGGTTTATGAACCTTTGCTGCCTCTTGCTGAGGCAGAACGCTTCCGGGTTCAATTCAATCCGATTCGTCATACCATGATGCGAGGTGCAGGGCCAAAAAGGTTCCATTCAAAATTTAAAAACACGTTCACTGCAGGTCCAAAAAAACCCAGCTCTCGCACACTGAAAACCTTCCAGGTTCAGCCAACGCGGCTGAGCTGATGAAGAGCGGCCTGCAGTGCAACAGTTGCCAACCTGGAGAAATCAGTTCAAAAGCACTTGGTCATGTGGTATCATACTATCCCCCGATTCATCGTTAGACCTATCTGGGCTAGCAAACAAACATACTATCGATGGACAAGCTCCTGCGCCACCTCAGCCCATCCTTCTCCATAGGCCCTACCTTCGGAATCCCCTTTCTGGCGCTCACATATCCCAAAAGAAGAAGCAAAGTCACCCAGCATCTGGGGCGCCATTTTGATGGCAACAGAACCATATATAAATGCTCTCAACAAATTGACCCCGGATGTTACTATGTTACTATCTCACAGCATACAACTATATAAATATTCATCTGATCCAACTTCAAGCATCTCTCAACTCCAGGCAGGCCATGTGAACAGTCTCTGTTCCTGACTAATCGGGCATTCAATGTTCAGTCGGGTGTTGTCAATTTAACGTTGAGGAGTTTCTAGATTCTAGTTCCAGCTGCACGGTGCATGTTTTTTTGGTGTCAACCACAATGAACACAAGGCCAATTATTATGTCCATCATTTGGATGGGTCAAAGGAGCTCCTCTGCTCAAAGACTTTGAACAATGATCATGTGTTGAAGGCCAAAACGACCAGACTGTCCCAAATACAAAACCTTGTATAGCCCAGGCAAGGGCCTCAAGACAATGGAACACCTCGTAATCCAAAACATGTGGCCGTGGTAGTGACTAGTCTGTGGCAGTTCAGAATCGTTCACATTGAATGGCCCGAGCCTCCCAGCTCGGCTTTCCTCAAAGAACCGAGCTGTAAATCTGTTCACCAGGGGCGACAAAGTCAGCAAAGTCGATGCTTTCCTTGGAAGTTCGCAAGACAAGGATTGCTGGTGTAAGGGTATTCTGTCGCATATAGGTCCTGGGTCGCAGAAATATGATGCAGAGTTGTTGACGCAGAAGCAGTTGCTTACATGAAGTTTTCTGGGTCCCTCTGTCTGGAGTCTGGCAGGGGGCAACATGAGAGAAATCAAGTGGCTCCAGCGATTTAGCTCAACAAAGTCAGAATGAGCAGGAACCACGTTGCAGGGTACCCTGTGTGTCAAAGCGTTCTTCTTCAACTGTAAACCCTGCATGAAATTCGGGTAGCACAACGCTGCCGGTTTGAACCTTCAAAGAAATCTTCCTTCCGAACAAAACTCCAAAACATGCTGCGTTATGGCAATCGACAAAGGTCCCATCGGTCCCATCCTCTTGGCTTGGCCAAGGTGCATCACCCACTTCGATGACATGCGGCTCATCGTCTTCGGGAACAGCTGCCAGACCTTGAGAGCACAGCATCGAACAACGCACCATGATGCCTGTGTCAGATAACTGCGCTCAAGGCCCTGAAAAACGAGTACATCGGGGTGTGAAGTCTTGGTCTCCAGATGTGGTCAGTCTCTCCTAAATGCATCCTAAAAATGTGCACAATCCAGACCCTCTATAAAATCTGAGGCTATGCTAGGGCCGTCCACTATAAATTCAAACACCCAAGAAATATAGAGACACAATTCATGTCGAAAAATTCGATAGCACCTAGCTAGACCTTTGGTTCGATACTCGACCCAGGGTGCTCCAAGGCTAGTCGTTATCACCGGTTGTTCTAAACTTGCTTCGATGCAGCATTGGATGCTCCTTGTGACATTCGGCTAACCGAAAGGGAGCTCTTATCTGGCAACCCCTAAAGGGACCAGCATCATCTCCAATCGGGTTCTCCACCATGTGGGGAATCTATTCACACAATTTCTCCCCGTTACAGCCAAGCACCGGCATAGAACTAGATCCCTTCTCCTATATACACATCCGAATCCTTAGTGAATCTACCCCTTTACTTTTCCACCTCCATGGATTTCCATGCCCACTAAAGAGAAACATCCCATGACTCACGACACCAAACAGCCACCAAAATAAATAATTAAAGCTGTTGAATCCAACTCCCCACATGTTGATGTGAAGCTTGGGGATATGTGATTACGTTTCTTTTGCATGGCAACGCTGGGATGCCCCACCATGCAGCTCATGATCGTCGGGCTGTCCACGCATCACCTTCTCCACCTGCCGGACTTGCACGGGACTTGAATTCGTCTACCAAAGTTGCGAGGAATTCAGAAGCAAGTGTATTTTACGGATATTCGGCTTGTAAACGGGCTGTACTTTGAAAGTTCGGGAAAAACTCTTTCGACTATATTTGACTTTGAAAAACTCCGAAATGGAACAGTGCTCAATAGTCCGTCAACAATGATATCACCCTGAATGGCAGGCCTCAATGGGGACACACCAGTCGGAACTCAATGTCGAAAGTCCCACAGAATCCAAACGACAGCTGCTTTCCTTAAACATGTCTAGATGTGCGTGACTCTGTATCATATTTGTTGGGGATGACATACATATCAGGACATCAGTTCTTCATTGATAGTACACTGTGGACAAACATATGCGTCTGCTTTGGAGAAAGAAAAAGGCCACGGACCAATAGTGTGCCCCACCCTGGACTTCGTCATGTCCAAGGAGTATGCAATGTTCTCAGTCTCGGTCTCCTGCACGAGTTGATCAAATCTCCCCGATCGGATCAAAAGGGTGGTCCCGGTGTGCTCTTGGGATTACACCGCCAGGCCAAGAGCAGGGGGCCCCAGATCCAAGAAGCGGCCCAGTCAGACACGGCGGCTGTAAGCGAGGTGACCTTTCGGTCCCAATGGGTCCCATGCACCCAGCCCCAACTGCTTCTGAAATTCAATTTCGACTTAGATGCAGCAAAGAACGCCTTCTGGGATTCAAATCGAGAGGAAACCGTTTTGTGGCTCATTTGACCAAAAGGAGCCCACAAAAAAGCACCACTACCATTGGGAACATTCACCCGTTCAGCACTCTTTGGATCTCCAACTTTGTCTCTATCCAAGCAGAAAAAGCCACAGGAAAGTTGACCTCAAAAACAAACCGTCTAGCGTTTGGCTCCTCGGTTTGGATGGTTCGCTCAACCACCTGACCCCAGTCGTCATAGGTCTTCTCGACCACCGTTGTTTGCTTCTTCTTTACCTGGCACCGAGGCAGAGTCGGTGTGGGACTTTGTGACTTCCTCTTCGCCCGTCGTCCGGTGCTTCCCGCTTTTCCCGGTTTTCCCTTGTGTCTGAATCACCAGGATGGCGTTGGGGCGGACGTTTCTCATTTTTGGCTGCAGAAGTGGTCCATTGAAATATATCCATGCACCACTATGGCAGGACTGCTGGGAGATGAAGCACAAAAGTACGAAATGGACCAAGTTGGCATGGTCACAGTTTTTTGTGGTGAATTTGACTTCTGAAGCCAGAACTAACATGTTGCGCAATAGTGTCAAGATTTGCCCCATCAAGGTTTTTGGACAGATCGTCGATTTCAGATTAAAACCAGGTTCTCCAAAATGTTAATTAGTAAGCGGATAGGTGTCTGTTACTTTTTTACCTTCTTCTAATCATGTTTAGATACAGCTTTTTCTGCGCTCAGCGCCAGCCCAGGCACTAATTCAATGCTCTTCCTCACGTGCTCCAAGGTACCTAACAAGCCAATCGTGCGACGGCACTGAAGACGTGGGAACCAGCCCCGGGCACTTCGAAGACAAACCGCTTAGTTAAAGAGACATTGTTTTTCTGCTTTGTTTTCCATCTCCATGTTCATTCTTGCAGTCGCTTAGTCTCAGACACCGTTGAGTTGTCAGGAGAGGTCACATCCTTCATTGACGTTGGTGCCCGTTTTTCCCAATCAGAGGGTTGCTCTCATCTCTGTGTCGACGAACGCCCTTTTGTCAGGCCAGATGAGGAGAGACACAAACATGTAACAACGCCACATTTTGCTCTCCATTGGCACCAACATGTGAGATGATCATCGACATCAGTACCCGATTTCAGCAATCTTTGTCGACGGCTCTAAACAAGTTTAGCCAAGGCGCCAGAATTCACGATACTGTCGGCAGGCGCGGCGAGTGGCAGGGACAGTTGCAGGGTTTCTTTGTGGTGATGTGTCAACCTTTGACCCATTAAACAAACACATTACATCAAATTACCGTAATCAAGAAACAAAAACAACATATGAAACAAACAGTTTTATCTTGAAACACTTGGACGAGAGTCTCTTGTATCGGGTTGCTTTCCCTTCACCTTCCGGAAACTGTCAATGAAACAGAAAAAGCAAGTTTCAACTCTGCGGTTCAAGGAGTTTAAGGGAAGATCTACAGGAAACAGTGGTCGGAACCCCCAAAACTATAGGTTTCCTGTAGATTTTCCCTTAAACCAATTCTAGGACTGAGCGGGACCGTCATTTATCTACTAGGAGCAAACGTGAAGGTTATATGGATCTGAAAGCCAAAGCCTCTTCTCCAAAGACGTGGATCAATGTGGCGGAATGTGAGTGATGGACAGCGAGTAGCAGCAATGCATACTTGTAGCAGCAATTGTGTTTTGGGTCAGCATGGCAACCTGAAAACAGCAAATCAGTCGTTGAATGCGAATCTCGGAACACCCTCCACCTATTGTCTGCATCGTCGTCGAGCGCAGTGGGCGGCCCATCGGTCCCACCCAGTCCCGCCTCTCAGTGGTGGTGGTGGAGACTCCAAGGGATCGGGTGCCTCCACCATCCACCAGTTGGCTCAAGTGGTATGACGCCTCCTGAGAGGTCACAAACCCAAGGTGCAATCGCCACGCACCCATTTAGAGTGAACCAACACGAGCCATCGGGTGCCGGTACAAGTTCACAGATTCTAACTTTCCAATCGTGCTATTTGCAAGGCCGATCTTGGCAGGTTCAAAAGCGAGGTGAAGCTCCTGCAGATGCGAAATGCAAATGAACATCTCAATGTCGGTCAGAGCAAACATTCTGAACTGTCGCCAACATCTGACTTGAGGGGCAGCTGGTACAATATGTGGACAATCATGGACAATCAACCCGTTTTCTTTGCCAGCGTACGACATTGCCGTGAGACAAACAAACCAACCAATAAGAAGACACAAAGTCGACAGTTGCAGAACAAAATCCCTTGGGTTGGGGTCAACGCCAAAACTCTTGAAAAACTACAAGGTGCAAGATGCATTTGTCCGTTCTGAGAGGCGAACATCCGAATGCTCCAAACAAGCGTAACTTGTCGCAACTTCTCAAGTGAATTACAAAGCTGGGGCCCGCTAGGGCTCCCTCCATAGTTTGGCTACGGTCTTCAGAACGACCGATTAGCACAGCCGTACTGCGCCCAAGGAGCACCGCCCTTCACCGTCATGTGAGTAGGATCCTCGCTCTTGTCCTGGGCATAGTGTCAGCCACTGTTTGGGGTGGGGACATGGAAAGAACGACTGTGACCGGAGATCAAGAACGTTGGACGGGGTCATTCCATCATCATTCACTACGGGTTGCACCAGTCACATAACATGATGGCACTTTGCACTTTGCGGCAAGGAAGTGATGAGTTTCTTGCGGATGACACACTGCCTCTTCCTTTCCAACTGGCCCTAAGATCTGCTTCCGCTAAACAGCGATTTGGGAAGGTTCTCATTGCTTTATCTACGCTACATGAACATCTCTTTCTATATACATACATACACACACACACACTCTCTCTCTCTATACATATATCTACACAGAGTATACATATATATATATATTATATATATGTACAGTTTCATATGTAAAATACCTCTCTCTCACTCTTCAGCAGAAGAACGTCTATGAGAGGGATTTTGGGCATACAGTTTTCTTGTTGCCGCGGAGTAGCATTTTTTGTCTTTACGCTTGCACCAATCAAAGCCCCGTGTTGTTCGATCCAAAACAAGAACAGCCACCGCCAGTCCTTCAGCCACCACATCACGATGATCCGCAAGATCACCGGTAGGATGGCAGCTGCCGTGGCCACCACCAGCAAAACATCGCTGGCCACATCCTGAAATTGAGAGCTTACCGCAGATTTTGGGTGTGGAAAAAAACATATATTTTATATATACTGCGGGTGTTTGAATGTCTGACCGTAATCCCTCGGTCCAGCGGATTTGGTCAAGCTTTGGAATGCGTGAGAGCTCAAGACGTCTGAGGATCGGACACACTCACAGCATGCGACTGGTGGAACAGTCTAAGGAATGCGTTTCATGGTTTCTCAGCCCCCAAAACAATGATGTTCCACCAAGTCCGCTCTTCTGGCGATGAATGCTCTGCTTGCCACGCTGAAGGACCTCTTGTTCAGCTTCAATTCGAAGTCTATTGGTCCTCAGCATTCGGAGAAGTGGCTCTGTATGTGCACCATCAAGCTTGGTGAGTGAGTCGGCGGGATTGAAATTGTGAGGCAGCCATCTGGCTCTTCCACCGACGATGGAAAGTGACTCCTTAATTATGGCGATCTCGAGAGCACTTCGCTCGTCCTCGCCATGACTCTGGTCGGAGTTTAGGGCATCGTACAAGGACTTGGCGTCCATCACCACTATCGAATGCGGATCCAAATAGGATTCTGATTCACTTGCGATCACTGTCGCTTTGCCCATCGCCGCCAGCTTTTCGTCTTCGGAGCGCTGTCTTGACCTTGGCTGAAAATGAGAGAACCTGATGCTCTCCATGAAAGCGTCTTGGCGTTCTAGCGCTCCAGTTGCTGCCGACATTGAAATGGCCTCGCAGAGAAGGCTTGAAGCCCCCTTTCTGCGCAGTCTCTTTGAGCGCCACTGCATCAAACTGACCGGGGCTTCCTCACCAACATTGAGCTTGTCATTGGTGAAGCCCATCAACCAGCCATGCTGGGAGCGCTCCTGGCCAGACGTGTCAAAAGCCGAGTCACTGATCAGTAGGTTCCGCAATCTGCTCTCTTCGATTGCGTGTATGACCAACTTGATGGGGTATGTCTTGACATGTCGCACGACATCATTTGCTGCCAACAAGTGCATTGCCTTGGGTTCTGGAAAGGATGAAGCCAGTATTGACGCTGCTGAGGCCGCGTCAGGCCGGCCCTCGCGAGCGAGCCAGTTGAGGCTTGCGATGAGACCGCGGAGCTGTGACTTCTCAGTCTCGGTCAACGGCACTCGAGCGGCATCCTTTTTCAGTACCTTGCGGGTCATGGGGATCGGTTGAAGTCTGGTGTAGATGAACTCATCCATGTCCAGCTCAAAGCTGAAGTCTTTTCGCTGCTTCAACCGTCTGCCCGCATAGTTTGAGCCATGTTCACTCTGGAGGTTGTCCACCTTGCCAAAGGTGAGAAGACCCTCCATGCGCTGCATGAGCTTTTGGTGCTCTGGACCTCCAGCTTCGGCAATATCATCCACCTCAATGACCATGAAACCCATGGTAGGAGGGTTGCCCGGTGGTCCAGGCGCAGGAAGCGTTAGGATGCAGCGGTCGTACTTGTTCACCTCATAGCCCAAGGTTTCAGTTGCCAGCTTAAGCAAACTGCGACGCCACCATGACGGTCCAGAAACAAGGCCATAGACCTCGGTCTCAAGAAGCAAAAGTTGTCGTGGATCATATCCTTCGAGGTGCTCGTCTCGTGGTTGCCGGATGGGTTGTTGGAAGAGCTTGCAAGAAGGCAGTTTTCACGTCTCGAACTCGAGTGGTCCACCGTCTTGAAGCAGCCATCTGGAGGCAGCAGTGGAGAGAAGTGGAGAGTGGCGTAGGCGCCGATCTCTCAACTTCCATGATCTGCGGATTTTCCCACCCAATGACGCAGAGCCGCGACTTGGGATTCTGTTGATTCTCCTCGAGGGCAAGTGCTTCTAGGTGACCTTCGTCAATGGCCTTCTTTTTGTAGTTCTCGATTTTCTCCGGGGACACATCCTTTGGCTTGAACCGGTCAACGAAACGAGAGTTGATGACCTGCTCTGGCCATTGCTCCTCGAACGCGATGCTGTCTTCAATTGAGAGCGCTCGAACAGCTTTGTTCTTGATGAGGCGGTCCACTTCTTTGATTCGAGCCTTTCTGAACTTCACTTTCTCTTCCTCCGGCAGCTTGGAAAACTCAATCTGTCCAAAGGAGGACTTGGCTTTGCTAACATACATACACCGGTCTTTGGAGCAGAAGCTAGCTTCAGCTTGGGACGACGAGAAGGTTCCATGAGAGCGAACTCGAGGAAGGAGGGTCCGACGGCCCTGTTCTCTATTGAACTTCCAGGTTGCTCCAATGAAAGGTGTTTTGGAGCCAAGCTGCTTGAGGTCCTCATCCTTGTCGAAGTCCACAACTTCTATGTAGAAGGAGGCTCCTGGAGGCGGTGGAAGTGAAGGCTGGGCTCCATCAAAGGGAAAAGGCATGGTTGTTCGCCTTGCTGGTGGTGTATAACCCACTGGTGGAGTTTCTGGCACCTCTTGGTATGGGGTGTATCGGTTCCTGGCATTGGATGGAGCCGGACCAAACTGCATGGTGCCGTGTGGGCCTTCATCCACACGAATGGTGGTTCTTGGAGCGGAGGTGGCTGGCTCACCTATTGCCATGTCCACTGGCGACGTGTGCTCTGTTGGGTTCGGCTCGTGGCCCTCAGCAATTGGAGGCAGCATTGGCGCGTCTTCATTGTGATCAGTCCTAATGCTGACCCTTCGGCTTGGCGGCTGTGAGAGCTGAGGCGGAGTGGTTGTGGCGCCATCGGAGTCCAGCTCCATATCCACATCGGCTTCACCTTCGGGATGTTGGGTGCTGTCATTGGTTGTTTCTCTTTCCATTGGCAGAGAGGGGGAGTACTCGTCATCGGCTATGCCATCTGCAGTGTTGTCCTGTTCAGAGATCCGCAGGTGGCGTCTGCTGGTTTCAAGGTCCTCTTCAGAAGGAAAGGTCTCGGCAGTGACGTCCTGATAGGCAATCTGGTTGTGGCCTTCCTTCTTGTGGAGCTTGTCCAGCATTTCACGAGTCAGTTCAACCACCAGTTCCGCACCCAGTTCTTCCTCAGGTGTGGCTGGCCTCAGCTGCTCACGAGCTGCTTTCCACAAACGACCACACATGCTGACCCACAAAGAACGGTCATGGACATCAGGCGAAATCAGCACACCAGGTCCAACCCATCCGCGATAGCTTGGAGAGTCGCGGAACACGTAGACCCAAGTGCCAGGTCGCAGATCTTTGAGGTCTGCTGTGCGACTGTTGGCTTTCAGAGCTCTCTTGAGTGCTCCTTGGTCTTGTTTCTTCATCCATTCTTTCATGGCAGCTTCACGGATCTCCCATGCTCGATGTAGAGGGTCAGAGGCAGCTGCGGCTGTCAGCTCCCGATCCATAGTGTCCGTAGCCAAGAGGGAAGCAGGTAGCCGTAGCGACTTGCCGAAGACTCTTTGCATTGGAGAGAACCCGTGCCTGTCCATGAATCTGTTTCTTGAAGCAACCACCTCAGAGACAACAAGGGCCAGTTCTTGAAAGCGAGCACATGTTTCTTCCAAGGTGGCTTGGATCTTCTCCTTCAGGATTCCCCCGGCTCGCTCCGTCCGTGAGTTTTGCCACGGAGACTCAGGGTCTGTGTAATGAAGCGCGGTGCCTTGGCCGCCAACCAGTTCTTGGAACTTGAAGTTGTCGAACTCTTTTCCGCGATCCATGACTAGTAGCACAGGTGGACCGTAGTGCTTGATCCACTCGTTCATAAAAACATTCAGAACTTCATCTGCCGACTTGTCGCGGCACAGGCTGGCTTGCTGAAAGTTGGTCCCCCAGCAGAGCATGTTGAGGATGATGTTCTGCAGCCCATAGGCCTCCAAGAAGCAGAGGTCTATTCCTACCACTTGGTTGAACTCGAGTGCGCGCATCAAGTGGCCTGGTCGCGCCGGTGATGGTCTTGGCCGAGCCTCACATGTGGAACATCGGAAATGTTCCTTGGTCCAGCTCAAAATGTCATCACGAACTCCTAAGTTGCGAAGAGCCCTCAGAAAGATCTCTCTCGAAGGGTGGCCAAAGTTCCGATGTACCCGGTGCACTTCTTTCCGCAGCTTGGGATCTAAGGCAAAGGCACCTACGCCAACATTCTCAAAGGTCTCAACCTTCTCCATTGCTTCTTGTAAGCGAGGGTTGTCTTCGAAGGTTCGAAGCTGTCGTCTCAAATCAGAGACGGCATCTGGCATATCTTCTTCTTCTTCGTCCCTCTCTTCTCCCACAGCCGTTGGCCAGCTCATGGCATGGTTGCCGTAGGTCTCCTCAATCTCGCGCTCAAGCTCCACCAGGTCATAAGCTTCTTCCCTGGCAATGTGGCCCAGTGACTGACCCCACTGATACCACTGCCGGTGGCTTTCTTTTGGCTTAAGCGCAGAGTGCCCCAATGCAGCTTTAATGCCATTCACAAGAGCCTTGACAAAGGAGGGGGTGTAGATGGCTGCATCCTGTGCAGAGCCTCCCAAAAGCATGCCGTGGTGGTGATTCTTGGAACACTTCTTTTCAACATGCTCGCCCAGGCCCTCGATGTTAGTGGCGAGGCAGGTTGGCTTCTTCACCCTCATACCTTTGAAGGGACCGCGCATAGCACGCAGTTCAAAGCGGCATTGGTCTAAGGCAATCTGGGTAACATCAGGTCGTTGACAGAGACGATGCAAGGAAGGTTGTTGCCAGGATGTGCACGGTGGCGCAGGCTGCTCCAAAATGAAGAACCTGCCTTCATTGGCCTGTTCTTCGGCCAGCTCAACGGAATAGTCCATGTGCACATTTCGTTCAGCTTCCTCCTCAACAACTTGCCAGTAAGGTCGCTTGAAGTTTGAAAGCTTTCTCAAAGGAGAGAACGTTCGCGGTGAGCGGCTAAGCGAAAGTCCCAGCCATTGGTGAGGTCCAGAGAAAGTTTAGCCCGCAAGCCCTGTCGCCGAGCTTCTTCACACACTCGCGGTGGCGAGTAGACTTCACCCACGTGGTCCAAGTAGCGAACCGCGTGGTAGACAACGCATTGACGATCTTTGCGACCCAAAGTCTTTGGTGCTCCCTCAAAATCAGTTCGGCCTAGCTCTGAGAGGCTGGCATTCAAGGCAAAAGTAGCCGTCGTTGAGCGGCTCAGTCCCAAAAGCGAATTCGAAGCGGAGGTGTCCGAGGGATCATCAAGCTCCACCTGAGAACCCAGCCAGTGTAAGTTGGCCGAGGCCTCGGGCACCACGCAAAGGATTGAAGCAAAAGCGAGAATGGCTGCCGTAGCGCTCTTTGAGCTAGGTGCCAAAGATCTCTTCAAACAAACCTTCATTCGAGGCGATGAGGACATAGGCAACGTGGTCGTGGTAGGAGTGGTCAAAGCGCTTCCATGAACCTCCTCCTTCGTAGTGCTCGTGGTACACGTGGTTGCCTGGTCCTTTGACTTCTGGCTCAGGGCGACACCACTTGGACATCGGCCAGCAGGCTTGGCACTGAGCTGCTCGATGAGCGTACTGCTCGGTGAGGTGCTCCCTCTCCATGGTCTCCTGATGGCGAGACTTGGTGCGATGCTGAGCTGGCCGGACACCTGAGGTCATACGTCGACGACGTACCTCATGAGGATGAACCAACGTTGTGCGGGAGGACAATGAACCCATATAGACCAAATCATCTCCTCTTTTCAACCATACGGCCACTCCAGGTCGTTGTTGGAGCTTTTCGCCACTATTGGTTTTGGGCAACGAAAAAGATTGGTGGATGAAGAACTGGTGAGCTCCTTTGCCAACTGCTCTGGCAATCGCCATTTCCCATTGAACTCAAGCACCGAGATCGTTCGGTGACCCGCAGTCGACGCATTGGTGTCTTCTTTCCTCCTCGAATTGAGAAGGTGTTCTTGCCGGCATCGATCACTCCACCCACCAGTTCGATGTAGCTGATGGGCAAAAGAAAAGGGGTCTCAAAAGCGCCAGCATCTGCAATCTCCGTCACACGAAGAAGCCCGTTAGTGCGAGCGATGCCTGCTGGCACGTCAAAGACTCCACAGATGGTAGCTGAGCCACCGATCCCAGCGCATGTTGCTGTGGTTCCTTCCGCTGGGATTGGCTGAAGCCCAAACTTGGCCAATGCAGCACGAAGGCGGCTCATGGCTGAAGAACCAATGACAGCCTCTTCAGCAGCCGTGTCGACCACACCTTCACAGTCATCCGTTCTCACTCCAGCAAACACATCCAGCTGCCGTTGCACCTCAGCCTTGACATTCACGGCGTAGATGCGAGACTGGCTGCTGCTTCCAGAGTGCACGAAAAAGGTCTGCGGTGTTTCCTGGTGAGGGCAGTCACGCGACATGTGACCCAAACCGCCGCAGGAAAAACATTTGGTTCTTGCCAGCAACTCATCTGGTGTGCCGCGAGCTTGACCTCGACCGCGGCCAGCGCCACCAGCGCTGTTGCGGCCTTTGCCAAAGCCTCGGCGCTGGAAGCCCTTGTTCTTGCCTTTCTTCTGAACTGGTGGAGTGTTTCCCTTTTTGAAAAACTGACGAACCTTTCTTCGAGCCTGTAGTTCACGGCGAACATCCTTGTAGGCACTATTGTAGGCCCAAATGTAGGTCGCTTCTTCTTCGGTGTATTCTTCCTGAGGGTCAAACATCAGGAAGGTCATGTTTCCTTGTCCATCACTTTCAGGGCCTTCTTCATCCTCAGGTTCCTCGGCATCAGCTGGAAGAAGTTCTTCTTCCTCCTCATCTTCGTCTCCTCCATAGTCCTGCGCGGTCAAGTAAGTCTTGGTCACTTTTTGAACCAGTGCGTCAGGACGATCTAGGGGCCGAAGAGCAGCCGCTGCCTGGTCAAAACTGAGCAATGCATTGTAGCGAACTGCCATAGCTTCCTTCTGAGCATCTGAAAGGTTGGCATGCTTCAGGAGGATGCGACCAGCAATGCGAGAAGGCAGTTTCTCCCCAAGGTGAGATTCCAGCTCTTGCAACGCCACCTCCTTAGCTGCAATGTAGGTGGACAGGTTCTCATTTCGATTCCTCTCGGTGCCATAAAAGAAGGTCTCGATGGATGCTGGACCAGCGGCTTCCAAGTATGGCCCATACTTGACCATAATGGCCGAGAGGATGGCAGAGTAGCCACTCTCAGAGGTGAGAATCGCTAAGTCGATGGTCTCGGCAATCCGACGAGGAGGGGACTGTTCTCCAAACGCTTGCATCAACTTCAAGCCCCATTTGTGCTTGGGAACATTGTTGTCGACTTCCCAAAGCATCAACTGTCGAAGCCAAGGCCTCAAAGTAGCGATGTCCCCACTCCAGCTTGGGAGATTCTTTCGATCGCCCGACAGGGCTGCAGTGAGAGCTTTCATCATCGTTTCCTGAGGGTCCACCGTCGTTGCAGCAGGTCGGTGAACAGGCTTGCCCAGCATCTCAAAAGCACTGCTGATCGAAGGTGCCGACGGAGGTGCTGCTGTGGCGTCAAGCTGATGCCACAGGTTCGCTGCATTGAGAGGTCCAGTCACAGGTGCACCAGCGCCCAAGTTCGGCGCAGTGTGAGCTACATGTCCCCTTTGGGGTTCCACACCAAAAGTTGGAGGTGCTCCCATGCCTAAACCAGTAGTCCCTTGGGGATTCGGTGCAAAAGAAAAAGGCAGACTGAACGATCCTGAGAAGCTTGCTGCATGAGACATTTGCGGAGTTGGGCTCATTCCAGGTGTTGCCACTGGTGAGGAAGACGTGGCAAAGTTCCCAGCTGCCGAAGGCGTAGTTCCAGGCATTCCTAAGGAAGTGTTTCCCGGTACCCTCGGCTGCGACTGCATGTCACTGAAGGCTGGCTGAGCTAAACCTGAGTGCCCCTGTCCAAACACTCCCGAAGCTCGGGAGGAAGCATCACCTGTGGAAGGTGGTGGTGGTCGAAGCCCTCCTTGAGACATTCCACGAAAGTTCCGCCAGGGGTCCGTACCCAACCAGGGATCCATGGGATGCAGTCGGAGTCGTATGTGGCTCCGCTGCCACTATAAAAGTGCAGCAGTCCAGAACTGAAAGGAATCAAACAACGAATGCGAATCAAAGCATGGCACCGCCCCGGCACGGCGGTCGAAAAAAACAGCCCTTTCACTCGGGAGCTCAAGACGTCTGAGGATCGGACACACTCACAGCATGCGACTGGTGGAACAGTCTAAGGAATGCGTTTCATGGTTTCTCAAAACAAACACATCCAGAGTTTGGGGATTTCTTCGAATACAACTTCCAAAGTTTGTTGAATGGACACTTTTTGGCATTCAGCTTGCAAGCACTGTGACCTCCAAACAAAGATTGAGACAGCAGCAGAACCCTACACACCAGTTTATGATTGCGTCTGGTTGACAAGTCCTCTTCAATTCTGAACCTGCTTAATTGAGGCTGCAGCTAAAGCTCTTCAATGTGATGCTATTGCAGCTTGCAACAGAGTGATCGACCAAACGACAAAGGTGTGCAATGGTTTGAACGTTGATAGCTCTTGAAGTCAATGCTTTCACTGCCTTGACATGGAACCAACAATTAAACCATGTGATGTGCTCTGTAATGAACTGCTTGGTAGATAAGAACGATCGTCAAATGCTGCTCACCCGGCTCACCCTCCTCTCAGCCGGTTACCTAAAGCAAAGTTCCCTTGTTTAAGGGCAAGGTGCGGGGATTACACACACCAAATACCATCATCAATCGAGAAACCGTGGAAAGGGGATTGCACAAGCAATCCCGCTGTTGAGCCAACTCCTCAAACATGTTGTGACCCTCTAAACCTTGATGCAATGCAGGCCCAAAGAAGCACAATGTATTCAAGAGATCTCTGCACTGAGTCACTGAGACCCCAAAAAGCAGTGGACGTAAACACCACAGCACCACGCTTCGGCTGCTGTGACCTGCACACTGCACCCTAAGACAAGAAGGCCGCGCACCATCCCCAGGTGACTCATTCAAAGCAAAGAGTCTGACCATTCGGAGTGCACGAATAACATAAACCTAAGGTGCAAAGAGAGGATCAAGGGCAACTCGCAAATGTTGGCCTCTTCTGGCATCTTCACTGCAGGTTTCTTTCAATGCTCCTTTCCCCGCCCCTCCTGCTGTGGGGCATCACCCAATGCTTGACCAGTCCAATGACAAAAACCACAGCAAACGGCAAACAACAAACAATGGCACAAGCAATACACAATGACATCCGCCCACCCACTAAAGGAAAAAGAACAGAAAGAATGAAAAAAGAAAGACAGAAAGAAAGGTCAGATGGCCCGGGTCTAAAGAAAACTATTCTACTTCAAGCGGGTCTTGCCCGGCCAGTCCCAACGTAATGTGCAGTGGCTGCTTCTTGCGTTGCTCATGCATGTCTAGCTGTCTGCTGTCGTCTTTATAACGGGAAACCGCGGCGCACAGGGCACAAAAAATAACCAGGGTACACAGACCCGTTTGCATATTAGTCTTCCCTCAGCAAATAACACAGAAAGGGATTGGCTTGCCTGAAAAACATGACCATGACAAGCAAATATACAATTGGACTAGCAAGGATTGCCTCCTTAAAGTGACCCCAACATAAATGCAAACATGCAGCCCTTCAAACATGTACTGAACACACTCTCTATTTGTTCAAGCCAGTTTGTGATGGTGCTGGAAGCACCCAAATAGGGAAATTTAAGTTGTGAGGTTCCAGATCTGACGTCCAAATATGCAATACATACACAGCCTTCGGCTCAGGGGCGTGCAAGTCATCGGTGGGAAGGTGTCAACCACTTTTGGTGATTAATCATAGTCCCATGATTTTGTTGCTTCATATCTGTCCCGCTGGTTGTTTGCGAACACTCTCTTGAACAATATCTTCAATGGCGTGTTTCAAACAGGGCCGCGCAAAGGCCCTTGGTAACGAGTGCATTTAGCTTCAAATGGCCAACATCCATGACCAAGCTTGTCAACTGGTGCCCCCTTTCCGTTCACAAGGAGCGCAACCTCACAGTGAATAGCTCTACCTTGGGAACCTGGAGTTGGTTGTCTTTTCAACAAACCTTTGGGCTAAGGCGTCTCACGGCACCTGTCCAACTTGTGGCCTTTGACACATCCCCCGCCAAGGCCAACAATGAGATGTCCGGTCTATATGGAGCTCTCAAAGTGAGTTTGTTTCGTGTGTATTTTGATGTGGGAAACAGTCGCAGGCTAGCCCTTTTTTCAGTCGCACTTAATTCGTTTGGCCAGGAGGCACGTAGATCAGCGTGTGAACGGTTAACTCCTGACAGCGCTGTCGCTCCACACGGCAAAAGAAACACGTCGGCCCCATCCCTTGTGGAATTCAAATAAATTTCCACACTCAATCCGAGCATCCCAATCATTCAAGTAGTTCCACTGATACGGCTGTACGGTCGCCTCTGAGATGAGCAACCTGATCAGTCTGCACATCCCAATCCTTCCCGGGATTCAACTGTCAAAGAAAGAGCTCCCCAGCGCTTGCAGCCCCAAAGAATGCTCCACTCGGGCCGGAGGAACTGAACGACCGTGGTAGCACCCTGTAGTGTTCAAGTCCCAGAGCTGGTTTCTGGCGTTGGATCTATGGACAGAACCTCAAATTCTGGTTTTGAACCATTCTTTTGGCCTCTGCTCTACAAGTCCCAGAGCTGGTTCCTGGCGGGTTGGATCTATGGGCAGAACCTCAAATTCTGGTTTTGAACCTTTCTTTTGGCCTCTACTCTACAAGTCCCAGAGCTGGTTTCTGGCG